GCAATAAAAAAAGACTTGAATGGACACAGGCGCGATAAAAAAATTTCGTGCATGTCCACGGAAAGATTTTTAAATAGTTTTTGAAAAATATTTATTCTTATTTAGAAAAAAGAACGAAAACTTTGCTGTTGATAGTTTCGCCTTTGTAGTTGGAGCATAAAAATTCAGGAGGCGGGAAAACTGAAACAGGTGAAAACACACGATAATATTCATAAATAAAAAAAGCGGAAATGATGTAAACTTCAAAGAAACCTTTTTGTTTAACAAGGAAATTGTTTTTAATGGCCGGTTGAACTTTTGTCGAAACTTTGCTGAAAGTTACTATAAGACCTCCTCTTTCCAGAACGCAAATAAAATTTCTCGCAATAGATCTCGTTTTTCGAGTTATGAAGCTTCAAAGTTTGCACGCTGAATGAGTGCTGCAAGGCAAGAGGCAATGTGGCTTGCGTACGATCCCACTACTCCAGTTGGCAGCGTGGTGTAGTGGCTAGTGTCCTTGCACTGTGGTGTCTATGACCGGGGTTCGAAACTTTTTGAAGAAATTCGTTTTTGCCAAAACTTTTCTAGGAGAAATTTATCGACATTGAGGAAATGGACCAAAACTTCCTTTCCATAACATAGTTCTCACTTCACTCGATTCACCAAGACTTTCGACTTCATTTTCCTTCGGCCCATGGGCATGATCAATAGATCACTTTCTGTATTTTTTTCAAGAATCTAGAGGAGACTTACTCATCTTGCTGTGGCGTGAGTTTTTTTATTTGATTTTTTTAAAATCATTAATTGGACTGAAACACTGATTAAAAACTCTGTACCTTTCAGCAAAGTTTCGACAAAAGTTCAACCGGCCACCAAAAACACTTCCCTTGTAAGGGGTAAATTTTTTTCGATAAAAACTGAAACGGAACATCTAGCCTTTAGTCAAGTCTAAGTTTGACCTTTTCAGTGTTGAGTTCGTAGTCGAGAGGAACGTTTGTAATTGGATCGATGAAAAAAATTCAAAATTTTTTTGTCAATCAAATTTCATATCAAAGAACTCAAACTTGAAATTTCTAGGGTTCGAATCGAGAGAAATCTCTTCTTGACGATGTCGTGGGTCATGTTCACGTGAAAGCCTCACAATCGGTCAGTTCTTTACAATTTCAAAGAAAAAAATTTTATTGATTTCCCGTAGATCGCAGAAGTGTCCAGGAGCACGAAATTGATTCCTACTTTTTTTGATTCATATCGATAATTCTTCATTAAAAATTGATGAATTTCTGGATATTAGGATCAAAAAAAGACGGAGGATTATTTTTTCATTCATTATATAACAATGATTATGGCAGCAGATGAGGAAAGAAGATTTTAGGTGATCTTCGTTGAAAAAAACCTTTTCGTACAGAAACAAAAGCGAATTTTCATGAGAAATCCGAAGATTTGTCTCAACCTGACATAAGAAGAATTTTGTAGAAAGCACCTCATCCTAATTCTCCCATCTCCTTAACAAGAAGTGTGGTTAAGAAGTATTTGTCAAGCTATGCAACCTGTGTTTCACAAGTTTTCTTTTGAAATTCTCGAGTGGTGATTGAGGCTCACAAAAGAATATATCGATATCGGCAAAGCCTGTAGAGCGATCGCTTTATGACTCCGGATGCTCGAAACAGAAGATAAAGACATTTTCTCATTGATTCTCCACAAAATGAGGAAATAACCACACGGTGTGGACACCACAAGTGTCATCTTCATTGTTAAAGCAACCTGAATACTCGAAATAAGAAGGTGCTGCAAATTTACCTAATCTATGTGAGAGGGTCATGCAAATCAGTGCGACAAAACCCAAACATAGTACAGATTCTGAAGAAGTTTTTTCACTCTATCCGCTGTCTCGCTCGGACTAAAATCGGTGAGTATAGATACAACTGTGTAAAAGATACACCACGCCACCTGCTGGCAGGGGGAGTTAGCCGCCGCGACATATTCTCTCCTTCCATTCAATGCATTTTTCGCGTGCAAACTTTGAGTTGCCATAACTCGACTAGAACGCAAAAGGGGCACTTTTTTTCAACTTTATTAGTATCAGGGTGCCCTAAAGTACCCATATACTAAGTTTAATCAAATTCTCAACCCACCACCTTTTGCACTCCCCGTGTTAGGCATAATTACAACGAATAACGAGTAAATTTTGATTGAACTTGTAAATCCGACCAAAATGATTATCTTTATTCATAAAACCGCTGCATAACAATCGTACTGAAAAATATTTTTTTCTATATACATAAATCATCATTTTCTGAACTTGCTCGTTTTTGCTGTTCATAGCATTTCTTCATAATCCGTATCAAATTTATTTAAAATTAGAAGTAACACTGAATTCCCAAACGTTCACCTCTTTGTCTTCTGGATAGCATTTCATAAGAATTCCTATGAAGATGACGTGGAGAAAAAGCAATAAAAACCAATTGAGTTGACAAAAAGCGGAAATACAATTGAACATTCAGCCGAATAAACTTCGCCTTTAGTCTTGATTTTTGTAATATCTTCATTTATCACGAGCAAAAGAAAAGAAGAAATCCAAATAGGTTGAACTTAATAGTCAGAGAATTTTTCAAATTTTTCTCCTTTATGTCCGTAGATAAGGCAGATTAGGCAGCTTTGACAGATGCAAAACCATGAAACCTCTATTATTTTACGAAAGCGCAGCAGCTTCTGAAGTTTTTAATCACTGAACTTCATTATTATTTCAAAACCCGTTTTCATCCCGACTTTTCGACTGTCTGTATAGTTTGAAGAAGGTTCTTTTTTTCCAGGTTGGTGTGTAACTTCCAAGTTTTTATAAGCCTCCATGTCTTTATAAAACCTCGAGTCAAAACCTCCGCCGTTCCCATGTGATGTCATGGGTAGCACGCGTAGAAAACAGGGAACATTAAAAGCGCATGTTCAATGGGTCATGAGACGAATTGATTTCACATTTATGCAATTTTTTTCTGTTTCTGGTTTTTAAAGCACATGCTGTGTTCCAAAACTCCGCGAAACTACAATTTACTATTATAACTTGGCCTTTGCCTTCAATAATCTTCGCTTATAATTTGAACTTATTTAATCATAAAGATAAGAAGAACAAGTCGAGAATAATTTTTTTAAAATCGATATTGCTGGTTCTCAAAAATTTTATAAAAAAACAGGCAAAAACCTCATTTTTTTCATATTTAAGACGTCGGTCTCTATATATTTAAATCTTTGAAAAAAACTTTCACATTCTACAGTGGTCCTCAAAAGGCTTGAAAGAGGACAAGTTAAAAATGATTCCCCCTGTTTCATTTTTAAACCGTGCAAGCCGACCTTTTTCCGAGTACAGCTCAAATTTTACAGTCAGCTCTCCTATATAAGTTTCTCGCGTTCCGAGAGGTCAGAAGACATGTTCTTCAATTCGAAACGCAACAAAAAAACATCACAGTATGCCTTTTGAAAAAAATAAGTGAGTAAATCAGAAAAAAATACGAAAAATTAGTTTCTTCTATCTGAGCTCTTTACAGGGATTCTATTGTTCGTTGAGAATATCGATCTTTGTCTTTGCGTCAATCGCCTTGCTGTATGGCGTCAAACTTTTGTGCGGGTAACTTTGAGCCACCCTGTACTTGAAACCATCTGATCTATCTTCACCCTCTTCTTTCTTCCGATGGCGCAATAATGGAGAAATGAAAAGAGCAAATCAACAAGAGAGACGAGTGAAGATGCAAAGAAAAGGCCTCACTTTCTAAATTTCAGCGAGTGAGTTATTAATTCATCAAGAAAAATTATCAAAAATTTTTTTAATATTTAAAAGACATGATTTTTTTGAAGTCAAGATGTATCAACGAAGTTATGAGAGTTTTCCTCGAACTGAACCCTTTTCTTTGAGCGTCCGAACTTCTAGGCTCATTGCCACAGCTTAAAAAGTCATCTGCGCTCTCTTTTTCTACGGAAAAGCTCTTCTATTGACCCAATTTTTGGATATTTTGGCGGTCAATAGTATTTATAAATAACAAAAGCGGAAATGCTCATAAATGATGTAAACTTTAATGAAAACTTTGGTTTTAATGATGAATTTTTCTGGATAAAACTGTAACGGTACGTCTAGTTCACGTGAAAATCTCATAATCGGTCAGTTCTTTTCAATTTTTTTAAAAACAACAATTTGATGAACTTCCGTAGAGCGCAAATAAGTGTTCGAGAGCACGAACTTGGTTCCTACTTTTTTTAATTCATATTTATAACTCTCATAATATAAATTTAGTGAGTTACTAAATATTAAGAACAAAAAGATGAAAAAAATTATTTCTGCTTGTTTGTTGTTTAAGATTATCATGGCATCAGATGAAGAAATTTATAAGTTGTTGAAACAAAAAAATTTAAAAAAATTACTGATTTTTTTCTCCAATTCTTCAGCTAGGGAAGATTCTAAGTGATCTTCGTTGAAAAAGCTTTTTCGTAAATTAACAAAGGCCAATGTTATTGCTTCGCGGAAGTGTTTCAGGGTTATCAAGGCTATAAACATGTTCCGCTTCTGTGTGTTCCCAATAATGAAAGATGAAGGCACAATATAGCCTAAATCTCATATTCAACATGAAATAGTTGTAAGATTGTTCTCAACCTGACATCAGAAGGATTGTAAAGAAGGCACCGCATCCTAATTCGACCATTTCTCTCAAAAGAAGTGTGGTTAAGAAGTATTTGTCGAACGATGCAACCTGTGTTTCACAAGTTTTTTTTTTAATTCTCGAGTGGAGATCAAAACTCACGAAAGAATATATCGATATGGGCAAAGCCTGTAGAACGATCGCTTTATGACTCCGAATGTTCGAAGCAGAAGATAAGGACATTTTCTCATTGATTCTCCACAAAATGAGGAAATAACCACACGGTGTGGACACCACAAGTGTCATTTTCACTGTTAAAGCAACCTGAATTCTCGAAATAAGAAGGTGCTACGAATTTACCTAATCTATGTGAGAGTGTCATGCAAATCAGTGCGACAAAACTCAAACATAGTACGAATTCTGAAGAAGTTTTTTCACTCTGTGCGCTGTCTCGCTCGGACTGAGATCGGAGAGTATAGATACAACTGTGTAAAAGACCATGATCAGGGCGACTGGCATGGAAATGACCACTGCCAAAGTTAAAAGCCTGAAATTTTAGTCATGTAATCCACGATTCAACTTGCCGAAAAAGATCCGTCGTTTTGATCTATTTTTTTGTCAGATTTAAAAACTGAAAAAGGTGGAAAAGCTCTAATTTCTGCTATCAGGTTCTTCAAGACCATTTGACACTTCTCGTGTGTGAGAAAAACTCAATAGCATATTTATACTTGGTGCGAGATATCCAATTTTAGAAAGGTCTAAGATAAGAATCACAACATTTTTCAAAAAAACTCAATTTAAACAGTTCTCATCAAAGACAATCGCTCACCATTTAAATTTCCTGCGAAACCCTTGCGCAACGTCAAAAAAACAAAAGACCCGGTGAAGACATAAAACAGCGTCGATGAAAATCAACGTGTAAGGGCAGAACATGGAAATTATCAAAAAAGTGGTATCGGTTAAGTTGATATCATCTAAAGACGTTTTGAAAACGATAAGTGAACAAAATTTAGTGAAAGTGATGAAGCCAATCAAAGTCACCAGCTCCATCCACGGCACCGCTGCATAGTAACTATACTGCAATCAACAAGAAATCATTAACAAAAACAGAAAAAATGGCAGCTTTTTGCATTCATAGCAAAAAAAAATCAGAGCATTTTCCGATGTTGAACTTACAGCCGTCGAGAAATCACCTTTTTGTCTTCAGGATAGCATTTTATGAGAACTCCTATGAAGATGAGGTGAAGAAGTGTAACAATAATGACTTGAGATGTGAGAAACGCGCTCCAGTCCCCGTAGTAGGGAGCCAGGTGGCCGTGAACAGTTTGAATACTCATGGAAGGTTTGAGAAGCTTATGTTAAGAAAACCTCGGATTGCTCGAACTGAAAAAAGACGAAAGTGCTGGTAAAAAAAGTCTTTTGTATGCTTGAAGCCAAAGTTCATAGGGCGGAGCAGCTGGAATTGCTGAAAATACGAAAATTTGCTAGCTTTTTCAGTACTTCCTTGTGTAATGGATAAAAAGGGTATCGCCTTTTAGCCTTTTTCATAGTAGTTTTGATGCTGAACCGACTCCATGAGAAGGTTTATTACAAGAGAGCCGAACGTCACATCTTGATGCTGGCACGGGGCAAGAGTATAACATCGGGTTTACTAAGACTATGGTTACAATAATTGAAATCCCACATGACACGATTGATATGGCGAGAATGAACACTCGGGAGTTATGCTTATTTTCTCTGTAAACTTTCAATGAACGAAAACTCAGTTTATTGTAACAACAGTCTGAACATGGACTACTTTTCTCGCAGTGCAGTCCGTTTTAAACTTTCGCACGAATCTCAACGTTATCAAGGACAAGAAAATCTGGCGCTTCTGCTGGTTCCCAATGATGAAAGATAGAGGGACAACGTAACCTCAAAATTGTTCTAATCAATGTTGCAGTTTGTCCATTTATTTTTACTTGACATAAGGACGCTCACAACAAAAATAAAGGCTCCTCCTTCGCCCGAGTGATTTTTTATAAGTGAGCTGACAAAGAGCCCACAGAATGATGCAACCTGCAGATCAACCTTTGTTTTTCGAAGTTCTCGCTTTGAATTCACGAATGAATGTATAGAAATGGGCAAAGCTTGAAGAACAATCGACCGATGACTTTTTTTGTTAGTTATCGACGATAAGGACATTTTCTTGTGAATACTCCACAGAACGAGGATATAACCGCATGGCGTGGATACTGTAAGTATCATTGTCACCGTAACCGCCGCCTAAATTTTAGAATTCAACTTTTTTTTTAGAAAGACCAGATTCACAAGTGGTCTTTGACTACTGCGACTTGGGTTTGAAAACAAATTCACATAATATATATTTTTGAAGAAGATCCAGTTTTGACATCTTGTATACGAAGCGACTCAATAACGATAGAAGTTATTGTGCGCATGATTATTATCAGTGCAAAATGGCAACGAAACAAAAAAACGAGACGAATATTACCCTGAAGATGTGAAACTATATATCTTGACATTTAATTTGTCACAGACATTAAAAATTTTTGTGATTTTTATGATATTAGTTCATTACGAAAATCCAAACTTGCCATCTGCCGTTTTAAAATTGGTTTTTGAGAAGAAGAAAAATTAATGAAATTTCTATAACTTCAAGTAATTTCCATTAGCTAACCATTTTTTTGTAACTTCAGGAAGTACAAATTTTTTCAATTTTCGAGAGCTTACCACTTGAAGTGTCTGCAAAATCCCTTTGCCAGATTGAAAAAGCTGAAAACTCGATGAAGACATAATGCCGCGTCGGTGAATATTAAAGTTTGAGGACAAAACATAGCAAAGAAAAAATCGCGTCAAACTCGGACATTCTCCTTATCAGGAACACATGTATGAATACTATAATGAAACTTGCAAAGCCCAGTAGAGTCACAAACTCCATCCAAGGGACCGCCGCATAGTAATCGTACTGAAAAGGTTTTTTTTTGATTCTCGAAAAGGCTCAAACGATAACTATTGTTTTTGGACAGGACATCTTCAGTTTTCGAAAGTGAAAATCGTTTCAAAACTTTTGATGCTCAGGGCTCACCTTTTTGTCTTCCGAATAGCATTTTATTAAAATGCCAATGAAGACGATGTGAATAACAGCAACAAGAAAAACTTGAATTAACTCAAACGAGGTAAAAATAGTCGATCATGGCAGAACTTGAGTTTTGACGGGCTTACGAAATTTTTCGAAAAACACATAGTTCAACAAGAAAACAAGAATTGTTTTGTTGATAATGTCTTTTTGTAATTGGAAAAGGAAATTCAGCAGGCGGGACCATTGCGACAGGTGAAAATATACAATATCGCTTATGAAAAACTCAAGAATTCTTAGAGCCTCCTCGTTTTGAGGATTTTTCGAGTAATTATTGAAAGAACATGTAGATTTGGTCAAGTCCGGATCTGACTTTCTATGTTTCAAAAATTTTAGTAGACTATGATGTACGACTTTTTGTTTCTAATAGATTACTTACTTTACTTAGATACTTAGATGGTCCATCTTCGCTTTCGACCTTTTATTGCCTTTTTAGTGCCTTTTTATTGATCGAAGCGTGGACCACACGTTTTCCAGGAGATCTTATGCAATCGGTCATCCAGTGTTGTCGTCCTGGTTGACTGGTATTCTTGCGAAAAAGTTCCATCCGTGGTGTTGAGCGTGTTATAGCATAATTGTGGTCTTATTATCCTTTTTGCCTTGCCAGGGCTAAAAAAGACCGCCCATTCTGTTAGCAGAAGCAAGCCGAATTGCGTGACCGGTTCTAATAGATTACCATGGGAAATTCCAATTTTTTTCCAAGAATCTCATATAAAAGTACGTTGAATTTTTGAATTTATAGGTGCCACTCGAAACCTCTTTTTTTGACGATATCGTGAAATGGAATGTTATCACATTCTGATAATCAGTCAGTTCATTCAAAAATGAGAAAAATCAAAAGAAAAATATATATCATTTTTGGCTTTTTATTTTCCTCATTAATATCGGGCTTGAGAAGTCCCTGAATTAATTTTGTCTTCTTTCCCTTTGACATCTGACAACTCTAAGCGATCAGACAAAAAAGTTTTGCATGAAAGTCAGTTTATTATAGCAACTTCATATACGTGGACTATTTTGATTGCCTTCGAGAGTGGTTTTTGTTTTTTTGTGAAATCTTGTAGTACTTTGAACGTCATTAGTGACCAGAATATTTTTCTCTTCTGAGTGTTACCAATAATGAATGATAGCGGGACAACATAACCTGAAGTTTTATTACGTGGGAAAATATTTCGAATTATCTGAACCTGACATAAGAATGCTCACAACAAAAAGGATAGCTCCTCCATCACTCAACTGGTTTTTGATCAGGGTGTTCATGAAAACCCTGTCGAACGAGGCAGCCTATAGTTTCATATAGTTTATAAGTTCTTTTGCTCTATTTTAAACTCACAAAAGTATAAATCGATATGGGTAAGGCCTGTAGAACAATCGCCTTATGACTGCGATCTTTAGAAACCAAAGATTTAGAAAATTTCTTGTGGATACTACACAAAATGAGAAAATAACCGAGTGGGGTCGCTACTGTCAGTATCACTTTCACTGTTAGGGCAACCTGAACTTTCAGAAATGAATAGACTTGAAAATAAGAAGTTTGAATTCACTAGCAGTACCGCCTCAAAAGTCTATTAAGTTTTGGTTTTTGGGGATATCTCAGCAGTACTTATCCGATTTATATATAACTTTTCATAGATAATGATAAAATATACTTTGAAACATATACTGTATACAAAAGACATGTCCACCAATGACTGTGACGCGTTTTTAGGCATTTTTATTGAATTCCATGTTTTTATGCTTTTATTTTATTTATTTTTATTAAATTTTTAAAATCAATAATGTTGCCATACGATCATGTTTTTCAGACATGGGAAGAACCTTTGGAAATAAGAATTTGACTGATAACGACAAAGAGCCATCGTTGTGGGTCGTCAAAATGGAGTGACTGATGACGATTAGCAGGAGTGTTCGGCACGCGACAAAGGGCGGGCATTTCTCCAGCTCCTAAAGCGTCAGAAAGCTCAAGATGGCTCTACTAACAGCCAACGCACTGGAAGACCACGTGTCACTGATCGTAAGCGGCGATAGGGAACATTTTGAAGACGTCTAGAACCAATCCAAGACTCACCGCCCCTGCGATCAGACGGGAAGTTTCTTGAATTCGCCATCTCCGCCATCCGTCTCGAGCCGTGAAACGACGTCTGACTGCTGCGGAATCATGGGAAGACGTCCAGTGAAGAAACCGCCGACGTTTCTTGAAAAGAATCCGAGCTGCCAGATGGCGGGCGAAGGAGCATCTCGACTGGACCCGTCAAGACTGGAACAAGACTCTGTGTCCGGAGCGAAAGCAAGTTCCTCCTCTTCGGGAGTGACGGAATTCAGTGGGTTCGTAGACCAATTGGGTCCAGATATCATCCGAAATACCAATTACCCACCGTGAAAGCATGGTGGAGGTTCTTGCATGGTGTGTGGGCGCCTCTCTGGAAGCGCGTCGGACCGCTTTTCATCGCGTGAACGGCGTCATGGACAAGCATCGTCTACAAAGATATCTCCAGAACCAGATGTTGCACGCGCCTGAGAGCCACGGGCCGTGAGTAAGTTTATCAACAGGATAACGATCCCAAGCACACACTTCACTGTTCGTCAAGGTGAGAAAAATTGACAAGTAATTCGTATGGTTTTTGAAACTCAGGACTAGTTCAAGAGCCGTCGGGTCACTCTGTCATGGGGTGGCCAAAGTCAATCTCCGGACCTGAACCCGATCGAAACATCTCTGGGAAGAGTTGAGCGACGTTGTGCCAACAAAAGAGCCAAGAATTGCAACGAGAAGTTTGCTCAACTGCTGTCTGAATGGAATCAGATCCCCATGTCTACCATCGACACTTTGCTCAATTCTATGCAGAGAAGATGCCAGGCAGTGTGATTGACGCCAGGGGCTTTCGCAAAACCAAGTACTAGGGTCCCGAATATTGTTTTAACAATGTTTTGTGTTGATATGTTGAGCTATGATTTTAATTGAAAATACAGTACTGGCCATAAAGGTATTTCAGCTGGTTATTTGAGCATAACTCTCTGCAGTGGGCTCTGAATGACTTGGAAACTTCGCACAGATTTCCAAATAGCTACGCAGTAACTCATTTCCAGAAGTAGAACTCCATTTGCTCAAGTAAGACCGGACGTGAGAGCAAAATCAAAAATCGTGTAACTGGAGATTTTCTCTGAGATTCGAAAATCATATCTTCACGTCGACTTTCAATCAGAAACTTTTTCTTGTAAAACAAGTCTTCGGCTTTTTAAAAACCTAATCAGCTCCCCTGCCAACCTGACAGTGAGAGCGTAGTGACTCTTCGGAAGGCCTTTTGCGTGATTTGACGTCATCGTCAGCTCAGATCCACTCATGTATGAGGTAATTTGTTCGAGAACACCTCAGCTTTCATGATGATCTGAAACACCCTCGTATAGCTCTTCACACTAGCTCTGCTCAGATTTCACTTTATCCGCTCTCCAGAACTTCCTAACTTCACGCCAGGGACCGATTTCTTTGAAACTACTCGAACAGTTTTTCTGGATTTTTGGCGCATTCAAAACAGTTTTTACCTGAACAATCACTTTCTTTCAATAGTGAATTGAAGGCATGTAGAAAAGTGCCAAAATTGCAGGCTCCTACTTCCTGAAGACTCCTAGCTTTTGCTGAAGCATCAGTTTCACAAGACCAAAAACTGATTTTCCATAAAATTTAAAGAAAACTTTTACAGTGCCTATCTTCGATCTGAGAACTAGGAAAAGAAGTTAAAAACTTATCTTTTATGATCTAAAACATTCAAAAATATGAAAAACGACTTTCATCTTCTTCAAGATTTGAAGCCTTCTAAGCAACACTTGGTGAAACTGAAGTTTCGAGAACTTTGAGAAACTCATTATAACTCACTATATCTTTTGATAAGCGAGTAAAACACAGTGAATCTTCTTTATTTTCATTCATAAATGTTCTGAATGAGTTTTTAAAAACTGAAATGAGAAATCGAGAACATTCTGATTTTGAAAAACGAGCCTAAACGCTTTCAAATCAGAGGTCCGAAATCGACCTAGTGAAGTTGGTGGGTTCTAGAGAGCGGATAAAGAGAGAAATCTGAGGAAAACAGTGTAAAAACTGAGGGTGTTTTGAAGTTTTTCAAACATGAAACAGGGTGTTCTCAAACAAAAACCACCTCGTATGAGTGGATTTGATATGACGATGCGTCAAAACGCAAAGACCTTCCAAAGAAAAAGTCACTACGCTCTTTTACCATCGGGTTGATATGGGTTTATTAGGGTTTTTGAAAGCCGAAGACTTGTTTTGACTATGGAAAAAGTCTGATAGAAAATCGAAGTTTCTTTGAAGATATGACGTTGAGTCCGCAGAAAAATCTCTATTTTCACGATTTTTGGTTTTGCTCAAAACCGGTCTGACCTCGAGCAAATGAGTCCCACTTCGAAAGAGTTATTGCGTAGCCATTTAAAATCTCTGCGAAGTTTCTAGCCACATGAGCCTGACTTTCAGGGAAGTTATGACCAAATAACCACTTGAAATACCTCCATGGCCAGTACTGCAGCAAAATTCGATCTGAAAGTTCGTCTCGAAAATTATTATTCTTTGAGCTAGCAATCCTGAAATTGCTGCCAGAACACGTATAAGTCTCCTCTCAGAAAACTATGATTGAATCGGATATCGCACTAAAACAGTACTTATCCTCAAAAACCAAAACTTAATGGACTTTGAGCGAGACTGTATTTGAAAGCAACGATAAAAAGAGACTGCTTCTGTTTCTAGAAAGTGAGGCAATCATCATAAAAATTAACTTGCATAATATGGATACCGGAGAGAATCCATCACGTCATTCAAGAAGTTTACTGGAAACAAAAGAAAATATATAGACGCTGCTGTGTACAAAAAATATTGTTAAGGCGACCGGAATCGAAAAAAATAACTGCAGCAGATAGAAACCTAGAATAACTTTGTTTAGTGTTTATTTCTGCCCTTGTGCTGGTTAAAAATGTTTTGACCAAAAGTATGTCCATGTAAAAGCCTTGTTTTTACAAATCTAGTCTTAAAAATTTTTATTTATTTATCTCACTCAAACACAGAAATACAAAATACAGAATAGAAAGTATTTGAGTGAAATGAAACCCGACATATAAACGCCCCCAAAGAGCGTTTTACCGGGGTGGGAGACACGTATTCATGTTTTTGACCCAAATTATGTCCATGTAAAGCCTTGTTTTTACAAATCTAGTCTTAAAAATATATTTTTTCAATGTTGAATGAATATTGAATGAAAAATATATTTCATTCAATAGTTACAATACTTTTTCCATTCTGGGAGCTCACCAATTGAACTTCCTGCAGTATGTATTCGCGATATCGAAAAAGCTGAAAACTCTCTGAAGGCAAAGTACAAAGTCGACGAAAATGAGGATATGAGGGCATAACATGGAAACAACAAAACAAAATCCATCGAACTCGGTGATCTTAGGCATTATCACAACGAATGACGAGTAGATTTTGATTGAACTCATAAATCCAATCAAAGTGATTTTCTCCAAACATGGCACCGCTGCATAGTAGTCATACTGAAATGACTTTTCTACATACATAAATTATCAATTTTTGATCCTGCCAGTTTTTACAGCCTATATTAGTCATGTTTAACTTTAATATATCTAGAAACAAAATTTGATGCTCAAACGTTACCTTTCTGTCTTCTGGATAGCATCTTATAAGAATTCCAATAAATATTATGTGAAGCATAGCAACAAAAATCACTTGAGTTGACATAAAGGCGGTCAAAAAGTTAAACATGTCGATCGAATAAACTCCGCTTTTTGGTTATATCCGTTTAATAACAGAATGGTAGGTTGAATTGAATAATTAAAAAAGCGGTCATAGTCTCTTTCTTAAAATTCGTAGATAATGCAGATTGGGCAGCTTCGACAGGTGCAAAAGCATAGAACCTATCATAAATAACAAAAAGCGGAGAAGCTTCTGAAGTTTCTCAATTGCTAAACTTTATTTTTCTTTTTCACTAGAACTTATAATTTTTATTTTTTTACCTCTTTGTGCCTTCCAGAAACTACGATTTCAATTATTAAAAATAATTTTTTTCATTTTTAACCCACCGTGTTCAAGGAAATTGCAAAAAAGACTCGCACTTGACAGAAATCGAACCTACCCAAAAATTGAAATTCAATCAAAAGGTTGGCTCTCTTACCGCTGAGCCAGGCCACCTCGGTGAGAGAGGAGGGTCAGGGGCGTACATGACTCTTCCGTGATTTTTTAAGGAGCTTTTTTTCAAAAGCCTATGCAGTTTAGCTGATAACCTTACTTGATTCTGAGAGACCTTACTTCGGTCTATAAGTCACCAAAATTTCCACTCGACACTCGTACTCGAGTCCGAGTAGCTCCCTAGTGAATTAGATAAGTTGAAATGTGTTTTT